TGCGCAACACCTTTGCCATGGTGGAACCCACCAGAGCCTCATGCCCTGTCAGGACCACTGATTATTGAGAAGGATAGCTTTAATCAAACATAATTGCAGTTAATTTTTCTCTCCTACTCTCTGTTGCCAGCGTCTAATGCCACAGACTCCTTGCTATCCCATTAAATTACAATTAAACAGCCTCCTTTGTTTCTGATGGTCCTGAATACCACCACAAAGTTCTGTAGCCATTTAAAAGAGAGCTGGTAGTCCTAATTGCCTGTTCGCCCACAAAGGGCCAATTTGCACAATGCCCATGTAGAATTTAAACAGTTCCTAATGTAATGGATATTACACAGGAGCCCCGCACCACAATTAAAATGATTTTCATCAGATAGTGAGGCTCTGGCTAATCAGCTTCATAAAAGTAAATATAAATGAACTAATTCATAGCTTAAACACACAGAAAATTGAGCACACTTTGAAATCTGTGGTGGTAGTGGGGGCTGACCTCATGTTTTGGGGTGCCTGTCTGGAGTTCTGGTTTAAATGGTGGGTCCCATATCTTTTTAAGACTATCTTTCCACTGTTCAACAGTGTCCTAATTTTAAGGTTTGTTGGGGAGAATACTAATACAGACACAGAGAGGCCCAACTTTTGACTTTTGTCCCTGGGTGTAGGAGGGTTGCAGTTCTGTTTAGGACAGGTGGAATGTTGTCCTTGTGAGAATGATGGTGGCTGTAATTTGTAGCTGAAATTCGAGGTGTCGGTGGTTCAGGAAATGCACTGTCCGCTGTGGCCAGGGAGTCAGTAGCGGCTTTATGCATCTTCATGGCGTCCTGTGAGAGGCAGCTGTTGGAGCCACAGTGGCTTCCAGCACCCAACACGAGGCCCAACCTCAGAAATCTCGAGAGCACACCTTTCCCCTTCCCAATAGCCGTGGAGAACTTTCCAGAATTATATAAACTGCCTCCCTGTGGGGTGTTACTGAGAAGGGGGTGCTGCCACTTGCCGTGAGCACTGCCCTCTCCTGCCTGGGAGGAATGAGGAAATAAAGGCCATATTTCAAGCTTGATTTCCTCTGGTACCTTCTGTGAGAGATGACGGCTCTTTAGGGAAATAAAGGCAGGTCAGGGAATTAGTGCACATAACGGTCATTTTGCTGATGGGCCAACAGATGCACCGGGACCCCACTGTACACAATTAAGCATCATGTACTAATGACAGGTTAGAGTTTTATCGCTGCCCGCCATCGAGCGCGAAGCCGTGTTTACCGTAATAAAGAGTTTATTGGTGCTAAGGCCAAAGATTTTCTGACATAGGAAAGATTTTTCCTTTCATAACAAGAGTCTTAAATCCTTTGTGTACCGGGGGCTGAAGGTAAGATATGTAAAGTGGCTGTCAGCTACTTCTTAGGAATAAGCCAGTTACAGTGCGACTGAGTCAAGGGTGGGCATTACCACTGACTGCAGGATGGGTGTTCCGTGTTCTCAGCCCTCCCCCAGTGCCGCGCAGCTGCAGAGCGCATCCACCAGAGCCCCCCACTGTGTGCCACGCCTGGCTGTGCCTCGTGGTCTGCTCACGGCCACCCCCTGGCCACACTGGAGCAGCTGACTGCTGTGGGCTCAGCTGAGTCTTTGCACTGAGTACCCAAAGCGGTAGAAAGTGCGCGAGGAGCTTTGCTCTCTGCCATCAGTCCCCACGGCATCAGAGCATGGCAGAGAGGCAGTGAATGCTGCCCTGTGCCCTTGTCTGACTATCTGTGATCCCGGTCCTTACAAGGTTAAGCTCCACAGACCCTCAGGACAGCGGCAGAAAGGTCACCACAGACGAGTGTGCATGAGTGTGTGAGTGTGGCGTGTCCCTGTGTGTGCGTCTGCATGTAAGGGTGTGCAAGGGGGGGGGTATACTGTATAACTGTGTACATGAGATGAGTGGGCAAGTTCAAGGATTTGCTGTGGTTTGAGTGTGTGTTAAGTGTGCTGTGTTGTTCTGTGTGTGTATGATGGTGTGTATGCAGGTGGGCAAGAATGCATGAGCGCAGTGTAGGGCGGTGTGAGTGGAAGTGAGGGTGTGAGTATGTACATGGACGTGTAGGTACAAGAGTGTGCGCACGTGTGAGATTCTGTGAGGTGATGTGTGTACAGGTGGTGCGGTGTGAATGTGAGGGTGTGTGGTTGTGTATAATAGGATGAGAGTGCTCTGTGTGTGTGTGTCTGTGTTCATATTTATGATGTGGGTGTGAGTGTATTATGTACAGGAAGCTGAGTGTGATACAGCCAACGGTGTGAGGTGGTGTGTATAAGAGTGTGTGCTGGAGTACACAAAGGTGTGTGGTACGCAAAACGTAGTGGTGTGTGTTACTGGCTGGCACATGAGTGTGAACGTGTGTACGGTGTGTGTGTACATGAATCTGTGCATAAAGTCTGTGATGTCTGTGTGAGGGTATTTGGGGACGCAGGGAGTGGTGTGCATGTGAGTGTGGAATTGCATACATGTGAAGATGTGTGAAGTGTATAATGTCACAGTGTGTGTCCATGTGCTGTGGTGCCGTAAGGAATGTATGTGATATGCGTGAGTGGAAGGTGTGTGTGTGCATGCGTGTGTGCTTTATATGGTGTATGTGTTTATCAGGCATATGTGGTGATGTGTGTATGAGGTGTGCATACATGGTGTGACTTAGTGTGTTGTGTATTCCTGTGCTTCTAATGTGTGCTGTATGTGAGGGTGACAGTGATGCGTGACTGCAGTGTGTCCGTGTGACTAAGTCAAGAGTCGGGGCCAGCATTGGACGAGGAGCCCCCACCCTGGGGTTGGGGGGGCACCAGGAGGAGCCTGGCACAGGGGCTTGGCGTGGGACTGACTGTGGCCAGCCTACAGAGAGTGCGGCTCAGGTCCGGGGGCCAGGACGCCCCGGGTAGGACCTTCACGGAGGCGCGGCTGCGATTAGCTGGGCGGTAATGTGTGGCGTTATTGCACCGCGTGGCTGTCCCCGGATGGAGCCCTAATTGGCTGACAGGCCGATAACTTTGCGCGCCCTCACCTTGTTAGGCGTCCTGATGAGGTGCAGACGAGCCTGGACGCAGGTGTGCCTCATTTACCTCGCTGCAGAGCGCGACGCCTAATTGCAAGGCGGTTGTTAGGAAAAATTGCTGGGTGGAATATCAAGTGACTTACTGTACACCGGTGGCAGATGGCCTTCGGAGGCACGGCGAGTTAAGCGCACAGGTGAGGGGAGTTCATGAAAGATGCAAATTCTGGCCTAAACTGTGCTGCCTCGCGACGTGTAAAAGAATTTTCTTCTTTGCCCACCATCCCTGCTCAGCCGGCTGGGCCCCTGCCTGGTCAGCATCCAGGAGAGAGACTCCGTCCAAGCCTCTGCTAGGTTCTGACATGATCTTTGTCAACAAGGACCTCAGATGTAGCTTTGGACTCAGGGATATGGGTGGAGCTTCGAGAGGGACTGGAGCAGGGCCCCCACTCGGGGTTGTGTGGGTCCTAACCTTCTGGTCAGGTGTGCTGCAGCTCATTCCTGAGCCTGCAGGTGTGGCTTTGTCACCTCATCCTGACACTCTTTCAGGCCCGAGTCCAACGCAGGGGCCAGACTCGGCCGGCAGCCCCACGTGCTCCAACATCTCCGTCCACTATTTGCCTGGAGACAGTGACAGTCCCGTACCAGGATGCTCTGACTGTTGGGGGGCATCGAGTGGATTTCTGCTCTGCACGGCCTCGTGACACAGCAGAGCTGCCCCTGTGTTATCTAGTGTTTATGGGAGGAGCCCTGGTGGCATCGTGTGTAGTTTGTTGGGCTGTTAGCAGATAGGTTCATAGTTCGAGTTCACCAGCCTGTCCATGGGAGAAAGATCAGCATTCACTTTCGTAAAGTCCTGCTTGACCCGTGGGAGCACCTTATCATCGAGGTTGGTCTTCCCAGAGCAGCTGCTCAGTCTGTTTTAAGAGGAGTCTCTGCATGGATTATAACAGCCAAGGTTTCGGGTAGCAGCCGCGTGCTTGAACCACCAGCTCCTGTTACTCCCTTAAAACCACGTGTAGACATTGTACTGACACCATTGTAACCCCTAAAACAACACCTAACGGGACCCCCGAGACTGTGGCCCTCAGCTCACCTCCAGTCTGGCAACTGAGCCCACACTCCCCACCCTCCACCCCAAGGGACTGATTTCAGCCAATCAGTAGACAGGCCTGGAAAGTGAGCTCAGCCCCAGGAGGACTTAACACCGCAGTGCCTCCAACAGGAGGCAGGAAGGGCAGCGTGTGCCCCTTAGCGTGGCTCAGCTGGCCGGAAGGGGCAGGAAAGAAGGACAGCAACAGGGAGGATGTGGGCAGAGAGTGGGCGTCTCCTGCTTCACTGAGGGGCTTGCATCCCATGCCATGGAACAGAGGTGCAAAAGTCAGTGTGTGGAAGAGGCGTTTCCCCCATAAACTTTCACCCAGTATATAATAAAAAAGCAAAATAAAGCCAAGGAGACTACCCTCAAGCCCCTTGCCTTTCTTAAGTCTGGACCTACTTATCCTTTGTCCAGTCTGAAGCTGTGTTTGCTTAGGCAGGGACGCCCTCTGGGGTTGGCCTTACCAGATAAGTGCTCAGTATCTCACTCAACTTGGATTTCACGCACAACCTGTGACTTCTCTGCTTGGACTTACTTGGTGATGTACGTGTCTGAAGAGGTATCTGTTGTTTATCTGAGGCTCAAATGTAACTGAGAAACCTGTGTTTTTATTTGTTGAATCGGGGAGCCCTAGTTGTGGTGGGGTGGTAGGGTGGGTGGAAAGAGCAAATCCAAGTCACTTAGAAGTGTGAACGTGCAGCCACAGGTTTCCGTAAGAGAATGTGTTTGACGGTCCAGCTACCAGGCTGACCGCTGCCTCTCTCAGGATCGCCGGACAGGGAGGTGGCTGGTTTGGGTTTACCTGCCCACACCTGTTACCTCATTTCTTGGAAACTTTGTGTTTTCTTTTCCTCCTGCCCCTAACAGATGTTTGTTTTTGTATCTTTATAGATTCTTTCTAAAGTTTTTCCTCAAGTGTAATCAGAACTGTTTGAAGAATGCAGGCAACCCTCGGGATATGCGGAGATTCCAGGTACTTGTCCTTGAGGATTGTGGGGGGGGGGTCTGACCCCAGGAGGAAATCTGGGTACTGATTGTCAGCACACAACCTTGGGTCTCCTGCATGTTTGGTCATTTGGTAAAACAGTTCAATAAAATACATTTTACCCATGGTTGATCACAAATCCAGCCATAGCCCAGCAGGGTCAGTTCTGGGCCAGGACCTCACGTGTCCACTCTTCCGAGCGGCGTCTGTTAAAGTGTGCACTGCCGCCGACGTGGTGGGCGAGGCTGAAGCTGCTGAGAGCCCCTCCAGGAGCTGTGGAGTAGGTGGACTTCCTCTGTGCGTAAACGTGGCAGGTCTGGGGACTAGTTTCAAAGTGTGCCGACTGTTGTTGAAGAACACAGACCCAAATAAAATCCTCTTCATTTCACTGTGTCATCCAGCCTTGTTTCCTCACCCTGTCTGCCACTTCCTGTGTTCGGTGGCCCAGAACCCACACTCATGCTGGAGTGGGCCCCAAAGTAGGAGATCCTTCAGTCACCCAGAGGGGTTTATGAGTGATCATGGCCCCATCTCACTGAGGGTCTGGGCCGGCTCAGCACGGGCCGTGGGGGGATCCCAGAGCATTTCCACCGGCCAGACCAGACCGGTGTGCCCTCAGCTGTGTCCTCAGTGCCTTACAGAAGCAGCAGGCAGAGGTGCATGGCACGCCGGCTGGAGGGATGAACAACGCCTTTGGCTCCATGCTAGCTTCTGCTTCTGGTTGGGTGTTAGTCCTGGCACATGTGATAGGACATTTTGCTACTTTTCATTGCTTGTGGGCTGCGTCATGAGGTGACACAGGAGTGACTAGCTCATGGAGAAAGGCTGTGGGGGCTCACGTGGTACTCAGGAGCCTCGGTAGGACGGGGCATTCTTATTTGGGGGTTGCTGTTGTTGTTGTTAGATGCCGTTGAGTTGAGCACAGCTCATAGTGCCCCTATGAACAAAAGATCTGAACCCTGTCCTGTCCTGTGCCATCCTCACACTTTCTGACACAAGAGTCCATTTCAGTAGCCACCATGCCCATCTGGTTGAGGGCCTTCCTTTCCTTCACTGACCAGCATCATGTCCTTCTCAAAGGGAATAGCCCCTGCTAGCAACTTGCCCAAAGGATGTGAGGTGAAGCCTCACCATTCTGGTCTCCAAAGAGCATTCCGGCTGCACCGGCTCCAAGACATAAATGTTTGTTCTCTTGCCCGCCCATTGGATGTTCAGTGCTCTTCTCCAGCACCACAGCTCAAGTGGATCAATTATTTTTGTCATCCTTATTCATTGCCCAGCTCGCAGATGCATAGCAAGTAATCAAAAAGACCATGGCCTGAATCAGACACACCTTAGTCTTCAAACTGTCATCACTACTCCTCAGTAATTTGGAGAGGTCCCTAACTGCAGATTTTCCCAGTGCAACACATCTCCTTATTTCCTGACTACTGATACCAAGGGTGTTAATTGTGGATCCAAGCAAGATGAAACTGTTGATAATTTTACTCTCCTCACTATCCATCATGACACTAACTCGGTCCAGTGGTAAGAATCTTTGTTTTCCTGACATTGAGATGCAATCCATACCAGAGGCTGCATTCCTTGATCTTCTGCAACAAGTGCTTCAAATACTCCTCACTTTCAGCAGCAAGGTTGTGTCATCCTCCTAATTCAGGTTTTTGATGATTCTCCCTACAATTCTGATACCACAGTCCTCCTCATAGGGTCCAGCTTCTCTCATCAATAAAGTTCACAGGTGTTAGTCAGAGGTTTAGCATAGGCCCGTGTCGTTGCTGGGTCAGTGCTGCAGTTTCCCGATTCTGTGTGCAGATGCAGGTTTGATTCCTGGCTAGTGTCCCTCGAGCCTGGCACTTCCCTCTCCCTTTGTAGACACTTGAGCATTGCCAGGATGTTGGACAGGTGTCATGGGTGCTTTGTGACTAAAATGGACCAGGAAGAGAGGCCTGAGATCCACTTCTGGAAACCAGCTGATAAGGACCTTAGGGACCATAGGGTCCAGGCCACAACTGGTTCTGGGGACAGCACAGGCTGGGCAGCATGTCACCCCTCTGTGCATGGGACAGTGTGACCCAGGAGCCGGTGCAGCACATCTGACCACAGCCAGCCCTTTAGTGAGCAGAGGATCTGGGGGTTTTGGGCCCACAGTGCGGACCACGTGCATGGGGAGTGAGTTTATTGCAGACAGACCACCATTTTTCATGCATCTTGGTTTCCCAAGGCCCTGGAGGTATTGATCCAGCTGAGCTGAGTACAGAATCACACCCTGACCAGTTGGCTGTAGCCTCTTTGTCTCGCTCGAGATAGAATGAAGCCTCATCACAAGTGGTCTTGGGGTTGACCGTGGAGTCCATCATTGCTACAAGGACTTCCGCCAGTCTCTTTAGCTAATCTCCCTGCCTCTCAGAAGATTTAGCTAGACTTCATGGCCTGGAGGGACTCTGTTTTCCACGGGGCTCTGGTCTCCACCCCTTTGCAGAGGTCACAGCTGGTCTGCGTCCTTTCCACCAGGTACCTCGCTCCCCTTGACGATTGACGTGTACAGAGAAAGCAGGGTCAAGACGGGCTCCCTTTTATAAAAATTGTGTCATTCTTTTCTTGATTGTTTATTGAGGTCTAGGAGACATAGGGAGGGCCTGGGCCTGGGCCTGGCACTGTGAACATGGAACTCTGGCAGCGCCCTGCATGGGGCCTGGCCAGTGGACTGGTAGGAGAGCATCCGGGGTGTAGGACAGTCCCTCATCTCCACGGCCAAGGCTCCAAGGTCTGCTGTCTAACCTGCCATGGACTTGACCCCACCTCGTGGAAACCCCATGTGCGTGTCTATGAAGGTCTGGGCCACACAGGGTCTCCAGAGACCGGGTTTTCAGACCACGAGGCTGATTTTTTATGGTAAACAACCAAGCCACTGGCCATGTCCCCAGTGACCCCCGCCTGACCCATGCTTGTCATTGATTCACGGTCACACTGCAGGACCGGGCAGAGCTGCCCCAAAGATTCCCGAGGCCACCATCTTCCCAGAAGCAGATGACCTCATCTTTCTCCCATGGAGTGGCTGGTGGGTTTGAACCTACAACCTTTGAGTTAGCATAACCTCCACGTCACCAGGGCTTAGTTCCTGCCCAGCACTGGCACCAAAGTAGAAAGCCCTTTCCCACCAGAACTTGGAAGAACAATGTGGTCCCCTTGTGACTGGCAGTAAATGAAGATGCTGTTGAGATGACCAGGACCGGACAAGAGCCCCTTGTGAACCTGCCATCCTGAGGATGAACCTGCTGCTGTGGGAAGGAACTTGGCATTGCCCAGCAGGAAGAGGGTTGCTGAGGAGGCTCAAAATGAGGGAACTGGGGTGCCCCGGGCGCACCCCTGCTGAGCTGTCTGCTTTGGCAACTCTGACGTGGGTTCAGCTATGAGTGTGTAGTGCTGGGTCCCCTTGTGACCTCGCTGGTTGGATACAGTGAGTCCGGATGGCCTGCTGAAGACACTCATGTCCCTGGAAGGTTCTGGGTCTCTAGGGTGGCACTGACTCTCACAGCACCCCAAAGCCTGACCAGGTGCACCCCAGCCGTGGCAGGAGCTAGGCTCCCTCACCCCAAGTCTTGGTTCTGAGCATACTTGTCTCCTGCAAGGACCAGGCTAAACTGAGCACCTGTCTTTGCTGTCCTGGCCTCTCTGAACACAGTGACCACGTGGGTTCGTGTGGTACAAGGACCCCTAGCCCGGGCCTCCGTGTCCTGCACTCTGGACCATTTCTGTGAGGTGGGTTCCAGGCCCACCTGGGTAGGTGTCTAGGTCAGCCAGGTGCCCCTGAAGGTGCGTTGTTTTCTTCCAGTACCATGCGACAGGGGCTGGGGAAGGCCTGGCCCATCTCCACCCTGAACCAGGTCATCAGAACGAATAGCTGCCCCTCATGACTGGAGGCAGCCTGTGACATGGGGTCCTCTCTGGCCCGTGGTGTGCCTGAGTGGGACAGCTCCTGCATGGAAAAATGTTCTCTCTTCACACTCGGCGTGGGATTTTCAGATGCAAAAAAAGTTCATTATCAGACATTAAATGTAATTGTGGCATTGACCCGGGCTCCGTGCCGGTCGGATCCAGTGCCGAGTGCTTTCTGATTTATGAAGCCTTTTTGGCAACTCCGCACCCTCACTGCCCGACATGGAAGGACAGTCTCAAGTGAACAGATTTTAATTAGATAAACTATCTAATCAATATGTGAACAGATCAATCAAAACAGCAGCTTTAAAATGAGTGGCTCGAGGGGTGTTTCTGAAGCTAATGGCTGGAAGAATATTTCTCTGAATCGAATTCACTTGTTAGCATAATAGGAGATTAAACCGTAATTAGTACGGCCAGTTCTGAAGAGAAGTGATCGTGAGTCAAAACACACCACAACACACAACCAACCCACTGTCATTAGTCAGAAAGGCTGGGCGGCAGCTCCCCTCCAGCAACCCCCGCTTCCCTCTGCTCCCAGGTCTCCCAGGCTGCTTTGCTCTCCCCTCTGGTAACTGAAAGGTTGTGGCTTTGAACCCACCAGCCACTCCACAGGGGAATGACGGGGCAGTCTGCTCCAGTTGGACTCTGTGCCAGGAATGCCGCAGGGCAGTTCCAACTGTCCTGCAGGCCGACGGGTTCGAGCCCAGGAAGAGAGCAGAGCAGTTGGTCTGTCCTGCAGACCTACGGGGGCTCCCAGGAACGCCGCAGGGCAGTTGTCTGTCCTACAGGCTGACAGGGGTTTGAGCCCAGGAACAGAGCAGGGCAGTTTGTCTGTCCTGCAGGCCTACGGGGGCTCCCAGGAATGCTGCGGGTCAGTCATCTGTCCTGCAGGCTGACGGGTTTGAGCCCAGGAACACCGCGGGGCAGTTTGTCTGTCCTGCAGGCTGCTGGGGGTTCCATCGAGTGGGTCTGGATGTGTTTCTTCTTCCTGAAGGGATGCTGGGCTCCCTGTTGCCAGCTGTGGGTTGAAATGCACTTCGTCTCCACAGGTGGTGGTATCCACGACCGTCAACGTGGACGGCCACGTGCTGGCCGTGTCCGACAACATGTTTGTGCACAACAACTCCAAGCACGGGCGCCGCGCCCGCCGCCTGGACCCGTCAGAAGGTACGGCCCCTTCTTATCTGGAAAATGGTAGGCACATGTTACACGCTTGTCTGAATTATTCTTTGCCATGCTTCCGTTATGCTGCACCATCTTTGTGTTAATCCATGTCCATTGCCATTAGCAGACCTTGGGCCAGCCAGGGTGGGGTGGGGGTTCCCTCTGAGCTCCTTTGTGGGGTCCCTTCCCTCTCACATGCACCTCACTGCTGTACCATCCGTTTTGTTTGTTTCTCACCTTTATGTTGCTTCCAGCTTTTCTTGCCATTTTAATTGGTTTGGTTTTTTACTTTTTGAGTGTCCCCATCGTGAGATTCATTCCCAGACACGCTTGTGTCTGCTGAGTGGACAGTGCAGCCTGGTCCTGTCAGCCGAAGGGAGCCTGGGAGGGTCATCACTGTGTGTACACATGTGCTTGCATGTTTATGTGGACATGAGTGCGAGTGAGTACGCACGTGTTTGTGTGTGTGTGAGATAGAGAGTAGGCAGTCCTCAAATGGCAAAAATGATTAAACACTTGGCTGCCAACTCAGAGGCTGGAGGTTCAGGTCCACCGTTGGTGGCTTGGAGGAAAGGCCTGGAGATCTCGGCTGTGAAAGCCAGCCATTGACTGTGCCCCTCCCAGGGCGCATCAGACCTGCCTTGATGGCATCTGTCTGTTTCCTTAGTGTCTGTGTGTTGTTGTGTGGATGTGTGTGCAGCTGTTCTCTGTGTACTCACAGATGTATGGGTGCATACATGCATGCCTGTGGGCATGTACACACACGAGTCTACAGTTGTGCAAGGGGGCTCTGGTGACCCAGTGTATATGGAGTTGTGCAGTTCAAACCCACCAGGAGCTCTGCGGGAGAAAGATGGACAGTGTCCTCTATGTGCTTTAAAGTCTCTGAAAACCTGTTCTGGAGGGTCATAGGAGTCGGTTCTAACTTGATGTTCACCACCGTCACCACAGCATAGATGTTCGTGCAAACGTCTGTTTGTCTCTATCTATCGATCAGTGTTTATGCATACGTGTGTGTTTATGTGTGCAGGCATGTATATGTGGGCCTGCATAGGGAGTTCTGGCAGCCTAGTGGTAAGAAGTTGCACTGCCAACCCAAAGGTACATGGGTTTGAATCCACCAGGTGCTCCACAGGAGAAAGATGGGCAATCTTCTCCTTTGAGATTTTACTGCCTCTGGAAAACCTGCTTGAGGGTCAGCTTTGGGTCAGTTCTGACTCGATGGTACATAATAACAGCAAACATGCATCCACGTATATATGTGTATGTAAGTGTGTATGTAAGTGTGTATGTAAATGTGGAAAGGTGTGTACATGCATGCATACACGTGTACAGGCAGGCACCGATGTACACACGTGTCCATGCACATGCATGTGTGTCCATATGTGTATACACAGGTGTACGCCCACAGGCATATATGTATGCATGCATGTATGTATATGGGATGGCAATCACTGGGTGGCACGAATGATGAAACACTTGCCTGCTGACTGAAAGATTGGAGGTTCAAATCCACCCTTTGTGCCTTGGAAGGAAGGTCTGGTGGTCTGCTCCCTACTTGTTAGCCCCCTGAAGCCCCTTGGCACCCAGCGTGGGATAGGAATTGACTCAATGGTAATGGGTGGGTTCTAAAAAAAAATGTGTGTGTGCGCGCGCGCACAGGAGTACACTTGTTTGCAGGTATGTGTGAGCCTGTGCACGTGGGAGAGAGGTGGAGAGAGATGAGGGAATGAGAAACACAGGAGCATAAATATTCTTTTACTAAATGCTGCCCAGCAGTTGACTGTTGTTTTGCTGTGAAAAGAGTTTTGATAAGAGTATGAGATAGGGAAAGCATGTGAAGTCAGAATTCAGAACAACTCAGATTGTAGAGAGTGTTTACTGAAGCACGGGCCCCACGTGCAGCTGCGGGGTCCTCAAGAGTCGCCATTCCCCGCCTTCTACCCTCAGACACGTCTCCACCATCAGATGGGAGGCGGGAGACCTCTAGCACATGCTGAGACAGTAACACGACTTGGTTTTTGGGAAAAGTCAACTGGGCACGGAACAGGCCGGCTTCCTCCTCAGGAACAAATAGTCCATAAAATGAAATGGTTTTAAGACAAAATCCACGTGCAAGGTGAATGGATGGCAGACAGAGCGATGAGTGAAGGCTGCACCAACAACCAGAATGAACTCTGATTCAGACCAACCAACGGGAAGATGCATCATGATTGTTCCACGGCCCACAAAAATAAACTAATTTGTTTTTCTGTGTTAATGACTAAGGTAGAGGAGAACAAAAATATCGTAATTAAAGGTTGCCAGCCGTTAGAGCCCGTGACGTGTTGTTTATCTGGCTCCCGTGCGCGGAAGGTAGGTGTGTGCTTTGCTTAGCAACCTCTCTAATGAGCCTCACAATTAAGGAGGTTGGCTCCTCGGCCTCAGTTCCACGTCTCCCCAGAGGACCCGGCGTGCAACGCCACCGGCTCAAGGAGGCCCTCAGCCGCGGTGTGGGGCTGCGTCTGGCCCACGCCAGCCTCCTCTAATGAGCTATTATGATCTGAGCAAAGTACAAGTATTTATTTTTGTAAGTAGCATGAAAAAGCATTTCACTGTAAGCAGAACACAGCACGTTTAGAAAAATAAAGGCTGCTCTTGGGCACTTCGGAGACGGGGCCCAGCCTGTCGGTGCGGTTTGCGGAAGTAGTCTTGTTGGGGATGTTTTTTCCTCTGTTTGTTTCTCAGTATTTTAACAACATTTAAACCAAGTCGTTTCAGCAGTGCTTCTGGAAGGAGGCAGGGACTTCCTGTCCCAACCCAGAAAGTGACTCATCTTTGGAAAATGCAATTTCTGTGAGATCTGGTGTGGGTAGCTCTCCAAGGAATGGGGAGGAGTCACCGAATCAGAGCTTTCATCGTCACTGCTGCTTGGTCATGCTCTTCCAGAAGATAGCAACCTCAACTAGAAGACAGGACTCCTACTTTTTTAAAACATCAGTCTTCAAGTATATTCTGGTTTGCTTTGCTTTTTAAAAATTATTATTTGGGTGAAAGTTTTCAGAGCAGTTTGCTTTTCCAGTCAACCATTCACACTCATACTTTGTTTTCTGACATAAAACACAATCCCTGCCGTAGAAGGCACTCTTCCTTGGCCCTTCCTGGGATTCTGGTTTCCATTCGCCCCTCTAGAATCTCCCTTCCTGCCTTCTGCACTTCTTCCCTGGGCACATGCTTTCCTCTAGGTAATATGGACCATCCCCTCACTACCATCAAGTGAGAACCGTAGCTGACCCTCCAGTGGGGGAAGATTACCTGTCTGTCCCACAGAACAACGGGGGGAGGTGAACTGGCATTGTTTATATGCTGTTAGGTGCTGTCGAGTATGACTCGTTGCGACCCCACGAACAGCAGCTCTAAACCCTGTCCTATTCTGTGCCATCCTCACAATCACACTTGAGCCCACCGCTGCAGTCACCATGTACGCCCACCTGGTTGAGGGTCTTCCTCTCTTGTTCTTGTAAGAGTGGTTATTGGTGTCACTCTTCACATGAGAGGCCGTTATGCTTGCGGCTCAAACTTGAGCCATCGTGTGAGTTTTGTTACAGGCGTGAAGGGAGACTGAGGGTCCCAGTCACGAAGGGTCTGTTCTTTCTGAACAGTCACACTTACCAGGTCCTTCTGAGGCCTGGCTGGAGTTCCTGCTCAGTGCCCCTGTGCCTGGGTCAGGCATGCTCTGGGGTGGGGAGCTGAGCCCCCCTCTTGCAGGAGAGCACACCCCCATAAACCACAGCCCCAAGCATCCTGTCACCACCCTCCAGCTAGTACCTCATTATCCAATCGTCTGATCCTACCAGCGGTGTGTACACACTCACTCCTGGTTTCCAAGTAAACTAATTCCCCCTGCTGCCTCATGGAGACGTGCCACCAGGCCTCCGCGCTCACAAAAGCAAGGCAAATTATTTACAGTATTGAACGCAGAGAGGGGAACACCACATCTCCCTTTGAGCACAGCCCGGCCGAATGTGGTCTTTCATTTTCCCCTTGTCCCTCTCCCCCCGGCCAACCGCTCCAACCCTGTTTAAACCCTGCACGAGCAGGCTGCCCCGGCCTGCAGCGCTGAAGCGATTTGCATGCCAAGTACCGTAATGCGGTTAGGTTTATGCAATAAGGACAACTGCATGCGGGCTGCAGGGCTTCAGCGAGTTAAAGCGAACAGATGGTCCTAGGAGAGGTAAAAGGTATAATCCTATCAGCTGGAGTATCAGCCAGCCATCTGGACATCCTAAGCACAATTACAAGACATTTTAGCAGGCAGAACAAAGGGGTCTTCATGAGGCAAGATTAGGCCCAAGTGAGCGCCTCAATATTGTGAGAGGCTAGGTGACAGGCACCGGGCTTACCGGGAGCGTGCTGATTAATGGGAAGCCGCTTGCGAGGGAGCCCGCAGCCCTGCGCCTGGTCAGCGGCGTGGCTTCCAGCTCCTGTCGCTCCCTCCCTGCTGCTGCAGGCCCAGGCTGCCAGGCCCACCCTAGCCCCAGCGGCCATCAGGGAAGTTGCTGGCCATGAGAAAGAAGGGCTTGGAGGAAGGCCGGACCGGTTCCTGAGGGGCAGAGCCTGGGACCCATCCCGCTTCGTTCCTGCGTCCCTCAGTTCACGCTCTTGTCTTCGGGGCTGTGCCCCTCAGCTGAGGCCCCGTGAGCACCCCGGTCCCCGTGCGCAGCTGTGGGCGAGCCAGGCCGCTGCCACCTTCCTGGGCTCGCCCAGCTCCTGTCATCTGCCCCAGTGCATTGTGTGTGCTTATCATTAGCTCTCTAACGCTGTCTGTGTAATTCATTTTGCTATGGTCCCCATTGAACACATGTTCCTCTTCTATATGTGCATTGAAATGTATGCAAATTCAGGCAGAAGGAAGATAGTTATCGGCCGGAGGAGGCCAGGCTGCCCGCCCCACGTCTGCTGAGAGGCACTCTGGGTTGTGTGGTGCCCCGGCTCCGCTGGGCCACAGCTGCCGGATCGCCGTCTCTCCTCTGCCCACGGAGAGCAGGCACTTTTTCCCCCCTTTCTTTTTCTCACCTCCAAAGTAAATTTGTTTACTGTAATTTTTTTTTGTGTGAATTATTTGCCATAATTGGCTGTGCTGATGAAGGTCACCCCCTTGGAGGAGCCTTGTCAGTCTTTAGAGGGTTGATCCTTTTCAAATGCTCTCCATGCAATTAAGAAAAGCAAATGTCATCCAGAAGCCTCAGAAATGAAAATTTGTATGAACTTATTAGCATGAAGTCAACAGCGCTAGTTAAGGGCAGGTTCCTTGTGTGTGTGCCTCTGCTGCGGAGGGAGGCGCACGTGGAATGAGCAAATATAACCTCCACGCGCCCAACATGAGAGCAAACAAAGGGACGTGGCATGCCGGCGGCGTGAGCCACAACAATAGCTGACGGTGATTAACTTGGTGCGGCCTGTGACCCGGCGGGGAAGCCAAGGCACGTGGGCTTCTGGGGAACTCCGCACGTGAGGACACGCAGCTCTGGCTGACCCGGGGTTCAGAGCGGGGCCGGGGCGCACGCGGGGGACACAGGCTGAACGGAGCTTCGAGCGCCCTGGTCAGGCTCCCAGCTGGTCAGGAGCGTGGTCGGGAGTGCAGGCTGTCAGTGTGGCCACACCTGCTGGCCACATGCATGTCCACAGGGGTGGTCAGGAACCAAAACTAAGAGGACGCAGACCAGAGGCCCAGGCTGCGGTCCTGGTTCTGCGGCCCGTCTCTGTGCTCCGTTTTGGAGGCTGCAGGAAAAAGGGTGACCCCAAAGAGCACATCACCCTTGGATAGTGGATTGTTCCCAGGCACAGTCTGGGTCTGCTCACAGTTTGGGGTCTCCCTGTACTCTGGCCCCACGAGCAAGGCTCCTGGCCCCACTATGGGCCACGTCGTTATCCACGAGGCAGGCCTGACGGTAGTCTTCCTCCTCTGAGAAGCGAAGGAGGGTTACACTTAGCCTCAAAGGTGGCAGAGGCCTGCAAGGCCAAGGACAGCACCCAGCTGGGCAGGAAGACTCTAGCAGGTGAGAGGGCAGGCGGACGCACAGGCGTCTCGGAGCGGCCCTTCCCGTGGAAGTCTGCCTACGAAGACCATCAAAGGCTGCAGGGAAGGGCTGCCAACACCATGTAAAAGGAGAGCTGATCAAAGGCCAGAACAAAGCCGGCTCCATGAGGCCACAGCCTGAGCCGGCCAGCCCTTACCACTCGCAGCACCTGCTGGGGACCCCTGCCCCTGCTGGGCCCTCACCCCCTCGCCTGTCTCTCCATCCCCCACCCGCAGGCCTGCCTTCGCACAGCACCACCATTGCATGGGAGACTGGTTAGGCCGTCGCCTGGGGTCCCTGTCAGCAAACAACCTTAGATGTAAAGTGTACGCTTTTCACGAGGCCATGGATACGAGGTGTCTGAAGGTTTCCCTCCTGGTGAGGGTGAAGTGCGGGGACTGAGTGACAAGAGGAAGTTTTGAACCAAAAGGCAGAGTTCTGGGACAGAAAAAAACCAGCCCCATCAGCTGCTTCTGAAGACTCCTGGTGTTTGCTCCCGCATCCCCCGACAACCTGGGACGGAGTCTTCCTGGATCACAGAGTGATAGACAGGCGTGCCATGTGCACTTGGCGTATAATCATTTGAGTGGTTGTCTTGGCCCTGACGTGTAATTTGCTCTCCTGGCCTGTTGAGTTTTTTCTGTGCTCACTAATATTCCACGGCCTGCCCGTGAGATGTAAAACATTTAGCAGTTTGCTGTTAAGACAACAGCATATGAGTCTCCGGGAGGGCACAGAGCCTGGGTCGGTGGATGGACACTGAGGGCTGCCCTCCTTTCTCTGTCTTCTGTGAACAGCCACTCCGTGCATCAAAGCCATCAGCCCCAGTGAAGGCTGGACAACAGGGGGTGCCACCGTGATCATAATTGGAGACAACTTCTTTGATGGGCTTCAAGTTGTGTTTGGGACTATGCTGGTGTGGAGTGAGGTAAGCCCATGGCGGTGCTTGGAGAGTGTGGGTGCAGAAGGGTATGGACAGGCTCCCCATGGTCCCCTGAGCCACTTATGGTACAGTCCCCCTTGCTGGGTAGGTGGTGGGGGGCAGGGGCTCCTGGCATGGGTGGGTGCCGGATGCTACCCTGTCCCCGCCTTGCAAACCTGCCGTGGGAGGTCCCGCTGTCCACTGCACCAATTAGTGCTGGAAGCAGGTTTGCGGAGACATATGGTGGCAATTTTCATATGAATGATGCCCTGTGGCTTTTCCTGCAAGCTGAAACCCAGGATCATTTGCAGATATTTTTCTTAAAGAGCATGGTAGATCCTGAAGCTCGGGGTGACAGATCGGAGGTGGAATTCCAAGACGATGGTCCAATTTGTGCTCATTTTGGTAATTATATCCAACTGGCAAGTGTCCGCCTCTCGCGGCCAGCACCTCTGAGCGCCTTCACTGTCGGTTTTTTAGCTGATCACGCCGCACGCCATCCGTGTCCAGACCCCCCCACGGCACATCCCTGGAGTCGTCGAGGTCACTCTGTCCTACAAGTCCAAGCAGTTCTGCAAGGGCGCTCCTGGGCGCTTTGTCTACACTGGTGAGTCTGTAGCCCCACTGGGTGCTGGCATGTGAAGAAGGTGTGGGGTCTCCGAGGGGTGGGAGGGCCCCCGTGGCCTGCTTCTGGGTTTTGGTGTGTCCTGGAGTGAGACCACGTGACGCACGTACAGCCCACAGCCTTCGCCCTGGATGCAGGGTGGTCGCACCTACTCACAGGCTGGGCCTGGGGTGACTGTAACAGAGTGCACAGAGCTGAGCGTCTGCTGTGCTCTGGACCTGGTGTGGCACTTGAAGACACTGGACCCAGGGAGGCCAGGCCAGGTGCTCAAGGTCACAGTGCGTCCCCAAGGCACCTGTGTCAATCCTGTCTCTCGTCAGGCCAGGGTCTTAGCACCATGGCCCTGCTTCTTAACAACTTTGCCTGACCTGTGGGGTCTTCCTGTTGTGACCTCCTGGGATGCTGAGTTCTGGTCAAGCTGGCCCTGCCACTGGGGTGCCAGGTAAGCCGGCCCTATCACTGGGGTGCCGGTCGAGCTAGGCCTGGCACTGGGTGCCGGTCGAGCTGGCTCTGTCACTGGGGTGCCGGTCGAGCTAGCTCTGTCACTGGGTGCTGGTCGAGCTGGCCCTGTCACAGGGGAGGATTCCTGGAGGCCGTGTGTGCTCTGGTGGCTGTGCTGACCCCTGGGCTGGGACTGTTCCTAGAAAAATGCTGTCTGGAAAGCAGAGCTTCATGGCTTATGTTTTGAAGTCCTGCCTCCCAGTAGCCACGTTTGTGGGGTTTTCCTGAGGGTGGACGGTGCGATGAAGCTGGGACCCCGTGGTGGGCTGCGTGTTTGGGGTCTGTCTGACATGGGGGGATGACTGTGGCCTTGGCGGGCAATGCGTGTGGAGAGGTCTGTGGGTATACAGAGCTCGGCTCTACAGTGAGGCAGGATGGTCCCTCCCTCTGCTCCCCGAGGGGCAGCCCGTGGCTCCGAGCCTCCCCTGCACTGGGAGGATCCAGGAAGTAGCAGGACATTCCTCCTAGAGGCCCTTCTTGGAGTGAGTTCCCCTTCTGCCCACTGCTTGACAGGCCTAGTGTCACTGGGCGGGCCTGAACTGACCCTCGAGGAAAGCTGGACCACTGCATCAAGGTGCCCAGCTGACCTGTGCCAACCACCAGGGTCACTTCGTGCCTTTATGGCAGGGAGCCAGGCCAGGTAGGAGCAAGGTACCTGAGGGCCCAGCTCCCAGCACTCTCCCCGAGGCCAGAGTACTAGGAACCTGAGCCATGGCTGAGGGGACATACTCCTAGCCCCACTGCTGAAGGCCAGGTGAGAAGTGGGCAGGGCAGAGTGGTCGTGGGGCACCCCACCCCATTTTGGGTTAAGCCCTGGAGTTCTCATCTGAGGTTAGAGAGGGAGAGGTCTCACGCCGTCTTCGTTAGAATATGAGAGTGCATGTATCTGAACATGGTTATAACCACTGAGGCGTATCACAAACGTGGACGTAGGTGGCAGGGCCCTGGTGGCGCAGTGTGAGGAACTTGGCAGCTAACCAAAGCAGCACTTTGAACCTATGAGCTGTTCTGGGGGGAGGTGAGGCATTCGCTCCATGGAGCTCAGAGCCCTGGGGACCCCGTGGTGCACTTCCGCTGCAGGGCAGCTGTCACTCAGAATAAGCTTGGTGGCAGAAGGGTTTTTGTCTATTTGTTGGTTTTGGAAAGTGTAGTTGAACCCCAAGCAGCTCCCAGAGAGAACCCCACTTGGTTGCTCTGGCTCTGAGCTCTGCGGGGCTCTGATCTTTATATGAGGGGACTGCAGATCCTCCTCCTGGGATTCGAACAGCTGATCTTTCGGTTAGCAGTCCAACATCTTACACACGGCACCACCAGGGCCCCTTCTGAGGAAGAAAGGCAGGGTGAGCAGCTTCTGTAAAGAAGACAGCAGGACACTGTCCTGAGCGGTCCCGTCATGGGGCTGCCACAGCCAGAGGCGAGCCAAAGGTGAAGAGTTAGAGTTATGTCTTATCAGCGTTCACAGATGGAGGCCTCTGCTCTGTGCAGGAGTGCAGCCGCCGTGGGCACCAGTGGGCAGGCCCACCCCACCTTGGGCCTGGTGTGGCATTTTAGTAGAGGATCTGTCCTCCTGGTGGGCGGCAGCCCCAGGGCCTGGATGCCCCCCTCCCTGCATGGTGCTGGGTGTTGGGGGACAAGCTCCCAGTTTCAGGTGGTGGCAGTCGTAACGCTGCAGCTGGATGGACGCAGGGCTCTCTGAGTCCTGCTCAGGTGGCCTTGGCCCGAGTGCTGCTTGAGCCTCTGAGTGTCTCATTACCCAGGCAGGCGATGTGAGGGCCACGAGGGCAAAGACGCCTTTGTGAGCCACTCGGACTCACGGTGAGCCCAGGCACAGGGCTGCACCACTTTGCTAGCTGGCCTTTGGGAAAAGATGGCCAGGCCTCACCTCCTGGTCTGTCCCTCACTAACGGACAGGTGGTGTCTGTCTACGCAGGGCTCCTGGCTGTGTGGACGGTGGGTGGGTGGGCTCAGCTAACTGCAGGCCCACCCGGAGGAAGCCTGACCACTTGCTTGGGAGGACTCAGTGGCCAGAGTCCTAGCGGGGACCTCCTCCACCCCACAGTGACCACGCAGGCCACCATGGTTGGGTGCTGTGGGATTGGGCCCCTGACACAGTTCCACCTGTGAGCCTACGTCCTGCTAAGAGGAAACTCGCTCCCCACAAAAAAACGGAAAAATCATCGCAGACCCGCCTCGCCTGCCCTGGCAGGATTCTTAGTGAGTCTCCGCTGAATTTCGGTGTTTGCACGAGTGGGCCTTCTGCGGAGGGCGTGCAGGCATGGCTGTGGTTATCACTGGCAGGATAGCCTTTCATCTTAGAGAAGAAATGTGACAGCACACAGACCCTGTCTTCTGCAGAGTAGAAAATCCTGGCGGGTGGGGTGGGGCTCAGGCCCCCCGACTTAGAATCTCTAAACAGGCTCTAGGGTGTAGGTGTGTTTATGGGCAGGGCTGGGGAGGCAGGACCAGGTGAGAAAAGCTGGGTTAGGGGCCAGGCATCAACCACCCTGCTCCCCCGGAGAGTCATTATCCCCCCCAGACCTCTCCTTGCTCAGAAAAGTGCCTTCTTCCAGGCCCCCAGCTTGTCCTAGTCCAAGTCTCAGTCCCTGCTGGCCTGGGCCGCTCCGCCCCATCCTGGGGTCCTGGTTGCCCACTGCTTTGAGGACAACCATCAGATGGTGCTCCCAGCCGGCCTTCTCAATGCGACTATTCACGGGTCTGTTTGCTGCCCCCACCCCGCTCATTACTGGGAATATCCGTTTCAAACGCTGTAAGGGATCCAGCAGGAGTAGGGGAAAGGTGAGGTCGTAACCTGTCTGACCTGGAAGCCCCTGTCTGATTTGCGTGGAGCTGAGAAAATCACCGTGTGCCCCACTGAAAGCTGAGCCCCCAGTGTGTCCTGCGGAGAGCGAGGCCATGTCCCCTGGGCGCCTGCTTCCCGTCAGCATCCAGGCCTGGAGCTGCTGGTCTTCCCAGTTAACCTTCCGGGCCTGGGCTGGCCAGGGGCAGCCAGGACCTGGGATAATGAACCACCCGCAGCTGGGGCGAGGGGGGAGGCACATGGGCTGGGCCACTCAGCAAACCCCCCTGATCTCTTGCCATGGATTTGAAAACTACCAGAGTTCAGGCCCAGACCCTCGAGTCCAGGGAGCTGGCAGGGAGGCGGCTGCCCGTCCATCCAGGCTTCTTGCTGCTGCTTCCAACTCTTTGCAAGAAGCAATTACCTAGGGAGGCGGTTGATTAGCACGGTGAATTAAAAGAATGAGTCACAGATGCCATGTCCAGCGCTTCCACACCAGTCCTTGTATTCCCTGTGTGCCTGACCCCGTTGTAAGAAGGTCAAAAATTAGAGAGAGAGACAGTTTCCAAGCAGGCAGGAGCAGAATTAACAATCACTGTGTATGTAATTTGCCAGTTAATAGTAAATTGCCTTCTAGACTGTAAAATGCGGTATAAACTGGTGGGCACCTAAAATTAAATTAATGAGATATTTGCGGCATTTAAAAGTGAATCGTGCAAATTAATAACGGAGTGCAAGGCTTGTTTTAATATTTGTCTAATAGCATGTCGTTTGCTTGTTTAATAATAATTAAAGCCAATGGCAGCAGCCTCTACCTGGAAAGACAGGGCCCGGGGGTGGAGCACTGCCACACGTGCACCCCACCAGTGGAAACTGTCAGATTGTGGAGAGCAAGGAAAGAAATTATTTTCTAATTAGAATATAAGCATTTACAGTGTGATTTGATTAAGACAAATTGGAGTTTGTGTGCCTCTAATTGGAATGGTGTTCTGGCAAAGCTGCATTTACAGACACGTTTCTGAGTGTGAACACATTGTACCACCGACGTCAGACACGTTTCTGAGTGTGAACACATTGTACCACCGACGTGTGGAGTCTGTTCCCTCAAAATGCCCATCACACGGAAGGGGCACGGTGTGGTGGTCCTCCTGTCAGATGGAACCATCCGGGATGCTGGTGTGAGTCCCTTCACACCTGCCTCTGAGGAACCCCAAGGCTGGACTTGAGGGGCTTCATGGTGACCTCACCTCCCCATCCCCACTACTGTTGGGCTGACTCTCCCTCGGTCTAGAGAAATCTGCTCGGTTTAAGAAATTACCACAGATTACCAGGAGTCAGCGTGTCTCTTTTGACAGACTGAGCCAGGTCACTAAATGAGATGCTGACAGCCAGTGGGGACACGTCTGGCTGGCCTCGGGACTGGACCATGGAGGCATGGACCCATTGCCAGGCTTGCAGAGGGTTTATGAGAGGGAGATGTAAAATGATTAATTTCTGAGCAAAGCCATGCTTTTAATTTTAGGCTCGTGAAATCATTAACTCAATCAGTAATTGTTAACAGTTTGTGTGTTTTCTGATAGCCTGTTGAGACTGCTGCCTTCTTTCAAAAGTCAGGTTGTGCTTAAGAGTGGGGGCTCATGGGAGGCCAGTGGCCCTTCCCCTGTGCTGTGAGGCTGCGTGGTCC